TTTTTTTTTTTTTTTTTTTTTTTTTTTTTTTTTTTATTGCGACTCGACAAAATGACTGCACCGCGCCTGATGGAAAGTGCGAATACAGTCCAGAGATGAGAGTAACGGATGGAAAACACAAATATCTTCACTCCGTCACTATCATTTTGCCGGTCTGGCCAAATGCACTGGATGTACACCAACTGATCCCTGAACGCGATTCGCAAAAGCGTTTCACTGTGGAGGGTTTTCCGCCGTGTGTACTGTGGTCGCTATCCAGTCGGCACAGAGCCTACCACAATGCTAAGCAGATGGACACTTGTGACGCCCTCGGTCGCCTCTTACGACCCCCACGGGCATGTATGGGGAGGCGACAATGTATTCTTAAGCCGTCGCCCCACGGCTAAAATCACAACCATCATTATTAATCCATAAGAAGTTCAACAACTAGTGGGCCGCAAAATGGGTTAATGTTGGACACGCCTGTTCATAACACTGCAGTACGACTCAGAGCTTTAAACCGCAAAGATCTGTTACGTCGACAAGTCCCATGTGCCTGTAATTTCACCAGCATCCTTACCCTTCAAAACCGGAACACATTAATGCTAACGTTACTGCTTGGCAGCAGAAATAGGTAAGGTGGCAGTACTTCCCTAGACGAACTCTTTCACAAGGAGTTTTGGACGGACGTCTGACGGACTACGAGAGTAAACCCCCTGATTCAATCATCCATGATTATGTGCCTCGCTCTAGCCGTGTATCACGGCCACTAGGTAGTTTGGCTTTTTAATACTATAGGCGGGGTTCCATCCGTCACTCGCTCAAGGTTATGCGATAAGTGCCTACTGCTGAGTGCGCCGACGTCGGCGCAAGCGCTAATATCACACTATAACTCAAAAAGTGTATTTTTTCAGAATTGAAAAAAAAAAAACTAAAATTACTCAGTTCCCGCGACAGATTACTAAAATTTGTGTATAAGTTAAAGTTTATTAGAGACAACTAAACAATCTTCTACTTTCCAAACATATTATTTAAAAATAAAAGGGAAAAAATAATGCATGTTTTTTAGTTATTACTGTGTTGTCCAGAACTAACCCACGAAAAGTTGTCTCATTTTGGGTTTAGTAAATGTGTTTTAATACTTTCTTACAATATTCTAACTACGGTTTTAGTGACATGTAGGGAATCAAATTTTACGTTCAGCAATAGTATAATCTTGTATTTCACATATTTTGAGTTACAACACTATTGTACTAGCAGTGCGATATAAGTCTTTCAATTCGATTCCGCACGACTGCACACGGCGTGCAATGTTATTTTCACCTCTCTGAGCGCGTGCTTAAGTTCCTTTTTTTATCCTAGTGAGCGCTTGGTATCATTAGTCAGATTTAGTAGGCTATAAAGCATAGGTATTTTCCATTTTGTATGAGAGTGACGTATCTGTTACGTAGTAAGTGTTAAATAATCTGTGCTATAGGTACAAACTTAGTTTATGTAATTGCTTATCATTATTCTTTTTATCATTAGTATTATTATAATATTTAGTTGAACCTTCCGGTTCCTTTCTGGTGGAGAGTGTCAGTATTACTTATTACTAATAAAATCTTACCATCTTAGAGTAGAACTTTCCACAGGATGCGTAAAAAAACTAAAATGACTTTTAGGGCAGGTAGTGTCACGGTTCAAATTCCTGAACCGAACATTTTCCCGTTCATAACTCTGAACACTGCGTAGTACAATAAATGAAATATAAATTTATCGCTGAGTAACACAAGTCAGGGTTGACACAAAAAAATTACCTTCAATAGTTCTTAGAACTTAATTCGTTCACAATTATAAATTAATAATGTATAGGTTATA